CTTGGAGCGGGACGTCAAGCAGGAGTCTTCCACACGTCGCCTCCCTCGCGATACTCGCCTCCCTGTCCTCCTCCGCCTCCGAAGCCTCCGCCGATCCCTCCGCCAGCGTGACCCCCGCGGTGCCCCCCCCCCCCGTGACCCCCGCGGTGGCCTCCGTTGCCACAGCAGGCCAAGGACTTGCCGCTGACGAAGGTGAGGGCGAGAGCCAGGAGCAGGACGAAGGAAGGAACCGCTTCTGAAGGGAACGTCGAGGCAGAAGGACGCCGAGGAGCTTGGCCCAATTGGTGTCGAATTATTCGTCATCAGATGATAAATGAATATGAATATAAGTTATCGTCGTTGACTATTATCATTACTACTACTGCTGCTATTATTGTTACTGTTATTATTATTATTGTTATTAATATTTGTTATTATTATGATTATGTTATCATTATTAGTGTTATCATTCTTGCTACTACAACTATCATTACTGTTATTTTTACTATATTATTATCACTACTACAACTAGTATCATTGTTACTGTTATTATAATTTTATAACCTGTATAAGCACTATTCTTAATTACTATAGATGTCATCATAATGTCGAATGATTATGAAGATGATATTTCCCGATGTATTTTTTTTTCCTTAAATAAAACCGCCTGGTGTAAATTGAATTCCGGAATATCACGCACATCACTGCACAACCGAAACTACTTATAATGCAAAATTAATAACAAAAACAAAAATAAAGAACTCTAACTAGAAAATTGAAGCTTGGAAGTCGGTCTCAAATTCCCCCTGTTTCTTACCGTGGTCTTCGTGAGCCACTGGACTGCCGAGTCTTGAAGGCGTAAGAGCCTATATGTTCCCTTGGAGCCCCTGCCCCTTCTGCTCCCCCATGGAGGCTTGATCCTTGACCTTTATCCTGCTTGTGTTAAGGTCTAACAAGGACATATCGACATAACCTTGATGGATAATGCTAATCATGTGTGTAAACCAAATCTAATCAGAGACGTCAGTTTCCGATCTGTTGCAAGGTCTTGATACCAGCTTCATCATCAAGCGACGGGATTAAACACACAGTTGGCTTTCAGTTAAATAAGCCTGTTGCTGGCCGTTTTATTGTTTTTGCCTCCGCGAAGAATCCCAGAACAATGATTTCATACTTTTTCGGAAGTTTCAACCTTCGGACAAGGTCATGTAAGTATGTCCCTTTTACCTTGAAGGCGATAGGGGCAGCTGGAGGGAGGCAGGTCAGCGGCTTATAAAAGCTTCGAGGAGGTCCTGGTGATCAAGTGTGCAGCTCACTGTCTGACGAAGCTCAAAGTAAGGAAACTGTATATGTGTGCGTGTGTATATATATATTTATGTATATATACATATATATACATACATACATACATATATATATATATATATATATATATATATATATATATATATATATATATATATATATACATATATATATATATGCATACATATTTCTGCAACAAAAATAATATATACATAATTTTACACACACACACACACACACACACACATACAGAAACATACACACACACACACACACACACACAGAAACACACACACACACACACACACAGAAACACACACATACACACATATACACATCTATCTATCCTTATATCTTTATGTGTGTGTGTGTGCGTGTGTGTAAAAATATGTATATATTATCTTTGTTATAGAAATATGTAAGGCATGAACCTCGGTGCTTGCACAAAGCTGCGCCCTTCCATCCCCCGCCCGCATGCGGCCGCACATATTCCTCAGCCTCCTCGCCTGGCTCTTTCTACTTCCGCGTCTGTTGCAGATGCGGTTCTTCGCCCTGCTCCTCCTGCTGGCTCTCGCCTTTGCCTTCGCCGCTGCCAAGACCCTGCCTTGCTGCTTCGGCGGAGGTCATCACGGAGGCCATCACGGGGGTCACCACGGGGGTCACCACGGAGGCCATCATGGAGGTCATCACGGTCATCATGGTAAGAAAACACTTTTCATATACTCCCTATATGACTCACTTTCCAAAATTTGTTTCTTGATTTGGTGTCACTTATTAGTAGCATTCAACCGCACTCTGATAAAACGATTATTTTTTGAATACCTAAACTATTTTCGATCTATCATCAGGCTGATTCAGCTGTGGCTTCTGCGACTGCGAGTGAACAGCGGATTCCCGACTTCCGTTTACCAACATGACAAATAAAACTTCTCTGAAGATTTGTTTTGTTTTCAATCTGATTTCTCCTTTCACCTTCAGTAGTGTATAGTAGATAATGATTATACGATTTCTACGTTTACGTGCTTATCTAGAATCTTTTTTTTCAGAAAAGTCAAGAGGATATAACCTTTATCTACAAAATAAATGCATTTACTGCTTTACGAATCACTGTACTCAGTGCTTTTAATAAAAATAATTTGGTCATGTTTCGCTATCATGGATTTATCATAAGCATTCTTATGACGCTGACATTGTATCTATTCCAAATACCGAGATGAGAGCTATACCTTAATCGTTTATAGGAAATTTAACTTTCCCACACTGTTAACCAACTTTGTGTAAACATACCTTATCTGATGTTTAATGAGATGTCGAGTCCCGCCATTTCCTTGCAGATTCTGCTCGATGAATTCTAATCGCATGAATAAATAATATACAACGTAACTGTGATTCACGTTCATATCTAGTTCCCACATTTCTCAACTCGTGTTTGACATCGTCAAACAAACAAACGAGCGTATTTACCAAGGGGAATGTATGGTTTGAGCAGCCAGTGGTGAATTTAGTCAAGCCAAAGTTGTCCCAAAGTTGTCGATGGCTTTATTAATGTCTGCTACGGATTCGATAGCCTGTGAATCAATAAGCATTATTTATTTTTCCATTTAAAGTACAAGATCATACATTGACTTAATCCGTGCATATAATACAAACGAACAAGAAAAAATCCGATATTCACTTATTGCCGGAGACACTACAAAGTGAAGAAAATGTGGTTGGGTAGAAAATCTTCTCGGAGAAAAACAACATTATTTTCAACTTAATTACTAAGTACCATGTGATGTGTTTAATCTAATTCTCCAATTTACCGTCAATCATGATCAGTTTATGAAACAAGGAACCGATAAAATATAGTTATGATGCTGTAAGATTTTGGTTTTCTCTCAAGATTTTGTCTATTCCATATGTAAAGGTAACGAATGTTAATTATCTATCTACCTTTAAAACGCGCCCTTTATAAACAGTTATGTGTGTACATTTATGTTCCAGCACTTGTTACCTTTGATTGATTATCATATTGTCGTTACTATCCTCACCTCTAAGAACATTTTTTTTTTTTTTTGGGGGGGGGAGGGGGGGGGGGAAACTTCAGTGAAGATTTGGATGATTTCATAGAAAGTGATCAAATGAAATATCCA